ATTTCTTTGTCAGTGAGCAAACGTACAAAATCAGCAGGGGATCAAATACTTTTTTTCCCTCACTGTATGTTACTGTGTTCGTCTGTGGGTCTGTGTGAGTGTGTCTCTTACTGTGTGAGTCTGGGTATCTGTGAGTATTTTTGTTTCTCTGTTACTGTGTGAGTCTACGAGTCTCTGTGTGAGTCTACGGGTATATGTGTGAGTCTATTTGTCTTTATGTTACTGTGTGAGTCTATGGGTCTCTGTGTGAGTCTACGGGTATATTTTTGAGTCTATATCTTTATGTTACTGTGTGAGTCTATGGGTCTCTGTGTGAGCCTACGGGTATATGTGTGAGTCTATAGCTTTATGTTACTCTGTGAGTCTGGGTATCTGTGAGTATTTTTGTTTCTCTGTTACTGTGTGAGTCTACGAGTCTCTGTGTGAGTCTACGGGTATATGTGTGAGTCTGTAGCTTTATGTTACTGTGTGAGTCTATGGGTCTCTGTGTGAGTCTACGGGTATATGTGTGAGTCTATTTGTCTTTATGTTACTGTGTGAGTCTATGGGTATCTGTATGAGTCTCTGGCTTTATGTTACTGTGTGAGTCTATGGGTCTCTGTGTGAGTCTACGGGTATATTTCTGAGTCTATATCTTTATGTTACTGTGTGAGTCTATGGGTCTCTGTGAGTCTACAGGTATATGTGTGAGTCTATGGCTTTATGTTAATGTGTGAGTCTATGGGTCTCTGTGTGAGTCTATGGGTCTCTGTGTGAGTATGGGTCTGTGCGAGTTTATTTGTCTTCAAGTTACTGTGTGAGTCCATGGGTCTGTATGTTACTCTATGAGTCTATGGGTCTCTATGTTACTTTATGAGTCTATGGGTCTCTATGTTACTTTATGAGTCTATGGGTCTCTATGTTACTGTGTGCGTCTATGGGTCTGTTTGTGAGTCTGCTTGTCTCTTTGTGAGTCTACGGGTGTCTATGTTACTGTGTGAGTCTATGGGTCTCTATGTTACTCTATGAGTCTAATGGTCTCTATGTTACTCTATGAGTCTATGGGTCTCTATGTTACCGTGTGAGTCTATGGGTCTCTATGTTACTCTGTGCGTCTATGGGGATTCTATGTTACTCTATGAGTCTATGGGTCTCTATGTTACTGTGTGAGTCTATGGGTCTCTATGTTACTCTATGAGTCTATGGGTCTCTATGTTACTCTGAGCCTATGGGTCTCTATGTTACTGTGTGAGTCTATCGGTCTCTATGTGAGTCTATGGGTCTCTATGTTACTGTGTGAGTCTATGGGTCTCTATGTTACTGTGTGCATCTATGGGTCTCTATGTTACTCTATGAGTCTATGGGTCTCTATGTTACTGTGTGAGTCTATCGGTCTCTATGTTACTCTATGAGTCTATGGGTCTCTATGTTACTCTGAGCCTATGGGTCTCTATGTTACTGTGTGAGTCTATCGGTCTCTATGTTACTCTATGAGTCTATGGGTCTCTATGTTACTGTGTGAGTCTATGGGTCTCTATGTTACTGTGTTAGTCTATGGGTCTCTATGTTACTGTGTGAGTCTATGGGTCTCTATGTTACTCTATGAGTCTATGGGTCTCTATGTTACTGTGTGAGTCTATGGGTCTCTATGTTACTCTATGAGTCTATGGGTCTCTAAATTACTCTATGAGTCTATGGGTCTCTATGTTACTCTATGAGCCTATGGGTCTCTATGTTACTGTGTGAGTCTATCGGTCTCTATGTTACTCTATGAGCCTATCGGTCTCTATGTTACTCTGAGTCTATGGGTCTCTATGTTACTCTATGAGTTTATGGGTCTCTATGTTACTCTATGAGCCTATGGGTCTCTATGTTACTGTGTGAGTCTATGGGTCTCTATGTTACTGTGTGAGTCTATGGGTCTCTATGTTACTCTATGAGTCTATGGGTCTCTATGTTACTCTATGAGTCTATGGGTCTCTATGTTACTGTGTGAGTCTATCGGTCTCTATGTTACTCTGAGTCTATGGGTCTCTATGTTACTCTATGAGCCTATCGGTCTCTATGTTACTCTATGAGTCTATGGGTCTCTATGTTACTCTATGAGTCTATGGGTCTCTATGTGAGTCTATGGGTCTCTATGTTACTGTGTGAGTCTATGGGTCTCTATGGTACTCTATGAGTCTACAGGTCTCTTTGTGAGTCTATGGGTCTCTATGTTACTGTGTGAGTCTATGGGTCTCTATGGTACTCTATGAGTCTACAGGTCTCTTTGTGAGTCTATGGGTCTCTATGTTACCGTGTGAGTCTATGGGTCTCTATGTTACTGTGTGAGTCTATGGGTCTCTATGTTACTGTGTGAGTCTATGGGTCTCTATGTTACTCTATGAGTCTATGGGTCTCTATGTTACTGTGTGAGTCTATGGGTCTCTATGTTACTGTGTGAGTCTATGGGTCTCTATGTGAGTCTACGGGTATATTTCTGAGTCTATATCTTTATGTTACTGTGTGAGTCTATGGGTCTCTGTGTGAGCCTACGGGTATATGTGTGAGTCTATAGCTTTATGTTACTGTGTGAGTCTGGGTATCTGTGAGTATTTTTGTTTCTCTGTTACTGTGTGAGTCTACGAGTCTCTGTGTGAGTCTACGGGTATATGTGTGAGTCTGTAGCTTTATGTTACTGTGTGAGTCTATGGGTCTCTGTGTGAGTCTACGGGTATATGTGTGAGTCTATAGCTTTATGTTACTGTGTGAGTCTATGGGTCTGTGTGAGTCTACAGGTATATGTGAGTCTATGGCTTTATGTTAATGTGTGGGTCTCTATGTTACTCTATGAGTCTAATGGTCTCTATGTTACTCTATGAGTCTATGGGTCTCTATGTTACCGTGTGAGTCTATGGGTCTCTATGTTACTCTGTGCGTCTATGGGGATTCTGTTACTCTATGAGTCTATGGGTCTCTATGTTACTGTGTGAGTCTATGGGTCTCTATGTTACTCTATGAGTCTATGGGTCTCTATGTTACTCTGAGCCTATGGGTCTCTATGTTACTGTGTGAGTCTATCGGTCTCTATGTGAGTCTATGGGTCTCTATGTTACTGTGTGAGTCTATGGGTCTCTATGTTACTGTGTGCATCTATGGGTCTCTATGTTACTCTATGAGTCTATGGGTCTCTATGTTACTGTGTGAGTCTATCGGTCTCTATGTTACTCTATGAGTCTATGGGTCTCTATGTTACTCTGAGCCTATGGGTCTCTATGTTACTGTGTGAGTCTATCGGTCTCTATGTTACTCTATGAGTCTATGAGTCTCTATGTTACTGTGTGAGTCTATGGGTCTCAATGTTACTGTGTTAGTCTATGGGTCTCTATGTTACTGTGTGAGTCTATGGGTCTCTATGTTACTCTATGAGTCTATGGGTCTCTATGTTACTGTGTGAGTCTATGGGTCTCTATGTTACTCTATGAGTCTATGGGTCTCTAAATTACTCTATGAGTCTATGGGTCTCTATGTTACTCTATGAGCCTATGGGTCTCTATGTTACTGTGTGAGTCTATCGGTCTCTATGTTACTCTATGAGCCTATCGGTCTCTATGTTACTCTGAGTCTATGGGTCTCTATGTTACTCTATGAGTTTATGGGTCTCTATGTTACTCTATGAGCCTATGGGTCTCTATGTTACTGTGTGAGTCTATGGGTCTCTATGTTACTGTGTGAGTCTATGGGTCTCTATGTTACTCTATGAGTCTATGGGTCTCTATGTTACTCTATGAGTCTATGGGTCTCTATGTTACTGTGTGAGTCTATCGGTCTCTATGTTACTCTGAGTCTATGGGTCTCTATGTTACTCTATGAGCCTATCGGTCTCTATGTTACTCTATGAGTCTATGGGTCTCTATGTTACTCTATGAGTCTATGGGTCTCTATGTGAGTCTATGGGTCTCTATGTTACTGTGTGAGTCTATGGGTCTCTATGGTACTCTATGAGTCTACAGGTCTCTTTGTGAGTCTATGGGTCTCTATGTTACTGTGTGAGTCTATGGGTCTCTATGGTACTCTGAGTCTACAGGTCTATTTGTGAGTCTATGGGTCTCTATGTTACTGTGTGAGTCTATGGGTCTCTATGTTACTGTGTGAGTCTATCGGTCTCTATGTTACTCTATGAGTCTATGGGTCTCTATGTTTCTGTGTGAGTCTATGGGTCTCTATGGTACTCTATGAGTCTACAGGTCTCTTTGTGAGTCTATGGGTCTCTATGTTACCGTGTGAGTCTATGGGTCTCTATGTTACTGTGTGAGTCTATGGGTCTCTATGTTACTGTGTGAGTCTATGGGTCTCTATGTTACTCTATGAGTCTATGGGTCTCTATGTTACTGTGTGAGTCTATGGGTCTCTATGTTACTGTGTGAGTCTATGGGTCTCTATGTGAGTCTACGGGTATATTTCTGAGTCTATATCTTTATGTTACTGTGTGAGTCTATGGGTCTCTGTGTGAGTCTACGGGTATATGTGTGAGTCTATAGCTTTATGTTACTGTGTGAGTCTATGGGTCTGTGTGAGTCTACAGGTATATGTGAGTCTATGGCTTTATGTTAATGTGTGTGTCTATGGGTCTCTGTGTGAGTCTATGGGTCTCTGTGTGAGTTTGGGTCTGTGCGAGTTTATTTGTCTTCATGTTACTGTGTGAGTCCATGGGTCTGTATGTTACTCTATGAGTCTATGGGTCTCTATGTTACTCTATGAGTCTATGGGTCTCTATGTTACTTTATGAGTCTATGGGTCTCTATGTTACTGTGTGCGTCTATGGGTCTGTTTGTGAGTCTGCTTGTCTCTTTGTGAGTCTACGGGTCTCTATGTTACTGTGTGAGTCTATGGGTCTATGTGTCTCTATGGTACTCTATGGGTCTCTATGTTACTGTGTGAGTCTATGGGTCTCTGTTACTGTGTGAGTCTTCCGGTTTCCGTGTGCGGCTCTTCACGAGTTTTTTTCCCCCCTTCTCACTCTCCCCCCGTCCACCCAGAACGAGGAGTGTCCCAGTTGAACCCCGCACCCGGCACAAGCTCCGTTCCCCCTCGCTCCCCGTCCGCCCGCGTTTGCCCCCGACTCCCCCTGGAGGTTCGCCGGCCCGCCAAGCGAATGTCACCGCGGGGAGACTAAGAAGAGGATCCGGAGGAGGAGGAGGAGGCCGCCGACGACGACGAGGAGGAGGTGGGGGCGGCAGTGGCGGCGGCGGGCTGTCTATGAAGAGGTCACGGAAGCCGGTGCCGCGGTGAGGATGCCGATCCCGCGTGAGGCGTCGATGCCTCGCGGCCCTCGCGGTCGTGCCGAGGAGTAGGCCGGGCCGGGACGCCCCATCGGAGAGACGCAGCAGCAAGATCCTCGGTTGCACGCTCTCGGGGAGGTTACGGAGATACGCAGAGACACTGTGGGGGATACTCGTCGGGCACAGGCTGTTGAGGGACACGGAGATTTGCAGAGACTCGCCGAGACACGCGGAGACGAAACGCACGGCCGCTCGCTCGCCCATGAGTCGTCCGCTGCGAGGCGCCAGCCGGTGAAGGCCCCACCCCCCCACCCCCCCCCACTCCCCCCACTCCCCCCCCCCCCCACCATCACCCCCCCACCACCACCGCCCCTTCGCGTTTTGTCGGAGGTTGCCGGAGGCCGCCGCTTCTCCCGTCCTCCCCCCGGATCGCCGGATGTCCTCGTCCACGTGACCGTGGACGTCTGATGGTCGGCGTGGGAGGGGGGGGAGGAGGAGGAGGTGGAGGAGGTGGAGGAGGCGGAGGAGGAGGAGGAGGTGGAGCAGGAGGAGAATGGCGTCCAAGGTCCTGAAGGAGATTGTGAGCAAGAAGAAGCGGCGATTCCAGGAGGATGGCTTCGACCTGGACCTCACCTGTATCCTGTTACCCAGTGTTATGGATGCATGGGGGGAGAGAGAGAGAGACACGGGGGGAGAGAGAGACACGGGGGGGAGAGAGAGACACGGGGGGGGAGAGAGAGACACGGGGGGGAGAGAGACACGGGGGGGTGGAGAGAGAGACACGGGGGGGAGAGAGAGACATGAGGGGAGAGAGAGACAAGGGGAGAGAGAGAGACACGGGGGGAGAGAGAGACACGGGGGGAGAGATACACATGAGGGGAGAGAGAGACATGAGGGGAGAGAATGAGACACGGGGGGAGAGAGAGACACGGGGGGGGAGAGAGAGACACGGGGGGGGAGAGAGAGACACGGGGGGGGGGAGAGAGAGACACGGGGGGGGGAGGAGAGAGAGCCACGGGGGGAGAGAGAGACACGGGGGGAGAGAGAAAGCCACGGGGGGAGAGATAGACACGAGAGGAGAGAGACACGGGAGGAGAGATAGACACGGGGGGAGAGAGAGACACGGGGGGAGAGAGAGACACGGTGGGAGAGAGAGACACGGGGGGAGAGAGAGACACGGGGGGAGAGAGAGACACGGGGGGAGAGAGAGACACGGGGGGGAGAGAGAGACACGGGGGGAGAGAGAGACACGGGGGGAGAGAGAGACACGGGGGGAGAGAGAGACACGGGGGGAGAGAGAGACACGGGGGGAGAGAGAGACACGGGGGGAGAGAGAGACGGGGGGAGAGAGAGACACGGGGAGAGAGAGACACGGGGAGAGAGAGACACAGGGGGAGAGAGAGACACTGGGAGAGAGAGAGAGACACTGGGAGAGAGAGAGGACACACTGGCGAGAGAGGGAGGGACGGGGGGAGAGAGACATGGGGGGGGGAGAGAGAGAGACACGGGGGAGAGAGAGACACGGGGGGAGAGAGAGACACGGGGGGGAGAGAGAGACACGGGGGGGAGAGAGAGACACGGGGGGGGGGGAGAGAGAGACACGGGGGGGAGAGAGAGACACGGAGGGGAGAGAGAGACAAGGGGAGAGAGAGAGACACGGGGGGAGAGAGAGACACGGGGGGAGAGATACACATGAGGGGAGAGAGAGACATGAGGGGAGAGAATGAGACACGGGGGGAGAGAGAGACACGGGGGGGGGAGAGAGAGACACGGGGGGGGAGAGAGAGACACGGGGGGGGAGAGAGAGACACGGGGGGAGAGAGAGACACGGGGGAGAGAGAGAGACACGGGGGGAGAGATAGACACGAGGGGAGGAGAGACACGGGAGGAGAGATAGACACGGGGGGAGAGAGAGACACGGGGGGAGAGAGAGACACGGGGGGAGAGAGAGACACGGTGGGAGAGAGAGACACGGGGGGAGAGAGAGACACGGGGGGAGAGAGAGACACGGGGGGAGAGAGAGACACGGGGGGAGAGAGAGACACGGGGGGAGAGAGAGACACGGGGGGAGAGAGAGACACGGGGGGAGAGAGAGACACGGGGGGAGAGAGAGACACGGGGGGAGAGAGAGACACGGGGAGAGAGAGACACAGGGGGAGAGAGAGACACTGGGAGAGAGAGAGAGACACTGGGAGAGAGAGAGACACACTGGTGAGAGAGGGAGGGACGGGGGGAGAGAGACATGGGGGGGGAGAGAGACACAGGGGGAGGGAGGCGGAGAGAACCTGGGGAGAGAGAGACATGGGGGGAGAGAGAGACACGGGGGGAGAGAGAGACACGGGGGGAGAGAGACGCTGGAAGAGAGACACATGGAGAGAGGGAGGGACACGGAGAGAGACACACATGGAGAGAGAGGAGGGACACACGGGGAGAGGATAGACACACGGAGGTGGGGGAGAAAGACACGGGCAGAGAAGAGTGTGTGGGTGAGAGAACTTTACCGGGAGAGAGTGAGATTCAGTGTGTTTCGACTGCTTGGTGAGTGTGAGGATGGCCCTGCCTGTGATCCATCCTGGGTATAACCGCTTCGGATGGTGTGAGGAGCTTACAGACCGTTGAGAGATCTGGAAGCCGTCCCATCAGTGAGTTGCCCTGGACAGGCAGAATCAGAATATTGTATTTGGACTGCAGGATGATTCCGATGAGCAGAAAAAGCTCATCGGAATATTGTATTTGGAATGCAGATGTTCAGTAGGTGTAAGAATTTTTACGACGACAAACACAATTGCACACTAACGCGATACAGTGCAAAGTGCAAGAAACGTGAACATCACCAAATAACACGCAAAACGAATCCCATCCCCATCCTATCAGGCAAAGCCCCGCTGAGCTCATTAACTTGTTGTTCATAAGCGACCCTGGTCATCGCTAAGTGATGGCAGCTCAACAAAGTGGCCCCCCCATCATTTGGACATATCACCAAAGTAATCTGAGTAGTTCTAGATTTGAAGTTTTCGTGACTGCAAGGATCCTTACTATACTCATTGTTTTTTTTCGGTAAAGTCACGTATGTAGAAATACCATAAAATTATATTAAAATAAATCAATCACTGATTGATCAACCACTGATTTATTTTAATATAATTTTATTGTATTTCTACATACGTGACTTTACCGAAAAAACCAATGAGTATTTTATGCAGTCACGAAAGCTTTAATTCTTTATTAAGGATCCATACTCTTTGGTTCTTTCGGTAAAGTCACGTAGGTGAACAAATAATAATGAAAATAATAAAATGAAAGTAACTAAATTAAATCACGACGTTTCGGGCGCAACACAAGCGTCTGTCATCAAGGTGGGAAAGCGTGGGTCTGCTTCTGAGGCAGACCGTTTGAAAAGGTTTGAAATGGGTGTAGCCCAAGGGTCATAAAGAAGTGGCCGGGTCTCGTGATGTTAAAGTGAGAATTTAGCATGTAACTGGGCACGGCAGTAGCTATGAAAATGTGTGAGATTAGCATGATGTTAATGTGAAAAATTAGCATGTCACTAGGTACGGCAGTAGCTATGATAATGTGAGAGATTAGCATGATGTTAAAGTGAGAAATTAGCATGTAACTGGGCACGGCAGTAGCTATGTTAAAGTGACAGATTAGCATGATGTTATAGTGAGAAATTAGCATGTCACTAGGTACGGCAGTAGCTATGTTAATGTGAGAGGTTAGCATGATGTTAATGTGAGAAATTAGCATGTAACTATACACGGCAGTAGCTATGATAATGTGAGAGATTAGCATGATGTTAATGTGAGAAATTAGCATGTCACTGGGCACGGTAGTAGCTATGTTAATGTGAGAGATTAGCATGATGTTAATGTGAAAAAATAGCATGTAACTGGGTGCAGCAGTAGCTATGTTAATGTGAGAGATTAGCATGATGTTAAAGTGAGAAATTAGCATGTAACTGGGCACGGCAGTCTCTATGTTAATGTGAGAGATTAACATGTTATAGTGAGAAATTAGCATGTCACTAGGTACGGCAGTAGCTATGTTAATGTGAGAGATTAGCATGATGTTAAAGTGAGAAATAGGCATGTAACTGGGCACTGAAGTAGCTATGATAATGTGAGAGATTAGCATGGTGTTAAAGTGAGAAATTGGCATGTAACTGGGCACGGAAGTAGCTATGTTAATGTGAGAGATTAGCATGATGTTAATGTGAGAAATTAGCATGTGACTGGGCACGGCAGTAGCTATGATAATGTGAGAGATTAGCATGATGTTAAAGTGAGAAATTGGCATGTAACTGGGCACGGAAGTGGCTATGTTAATGTGAGAGATTAGCATGATGTTAAAGTGAGAAATAGGCATGTAACTAGGTACGGCAGTAGCTATGGTAATGTGAGAGATTAGCATGATGTTAATGTGAGAAATTAGCATGTAACTGGGCACGGAAGTAGCTATGATTATGTGTGAGATTAGCATGGTGTTAATGTGAGAAATTAGCATGTGACTAGGTACGGCAGTAGCTGTGATAATGTGAGAGATTAGCATGATGTTAAAGTGAGAAATTAGCATGTGATTGGGTACGGCAGTAGCTATGTTAATGTGAGAGATTAGCATGATGTTAATGTGAGAAATTAGCATGTAACTGGGCACGGCAGTAGCTATGTTAATGTGAGAGATTAGCATGATGTTAAAGTGAGAAATTAGCATGTAACTGGGCACGGAAGTAGCTATGATAATGTGAGAGATTAGCATGGTGTTAATGTGAGAAATTAGCATGTGACTAGGTACGGCAGTAGCTGTGATAATGTGAGAGATTAGCATGATGTTAAAGTAAGAAATTAGCATGTGATTGGGTACGGCAGTAGCTATGTTAATGTGAGAGATTAGCATGATGTTAATGTGAGAAATTAGCATATAACTGGGCACGGCAGTAGCTATGTTAATGTGAGAGATTAGCATGATGTTAATGTGAGAAATTAGCATGTGACTGGGCACGGCAGTAGCTATGATAATGTGAGATTAGCATGATGTTAAAGTGAGAAATTAGCATGTAACTATGCACGGCAGTAGCTATGTTAATGTGAGAGATTAGCATGATGTTAATGTGAGAAATTAGCATGTAACTGGGCACGGAAGTGGCTATGATAATGTGAGAGATTAGCATGAAATAACAGCTGACATAGGCAGGTAGGATGGAAACATCGCAGTCAGTTAAGACTTTACCTGGTTATTAACGTCCTTCCAATGATTGCTCAGATAATCTGAATCGGCCAAACGCACTTTGATTATAAATGTGGATGGAAATGCCAGAGGACCCGGAGACCTTGGAGTGACACCGCAAACTCCAAATATACAGCAGCAGGCGTCAGGGTCGGAATCACACCCACGACCTCCTGCATACCAGGCAAGGCTGGGTCATGTAGCCCCCATACCGCTTCTGTTTAGCCGGATAGAGGGGGCTGAACAGGCGTGGCACGGGCTGCAGGAGAGATGGAGGACGTGAAGCTGAGTGGACTTGGCCGATGACCGGCACTAGCGGTGTCAAGATCGGCCTCTGTGGAGGAGGGGGCTCTTGAAGGACGCTGTTGGGCAGTGCCAGGCAAGGTGCACCTTGAGGCTACTGGGCAGTTGGAGGCAGTGGCCGTCCAGCGACTGCGGAGGGCAGAGAAGCGACGCTCACAACAACGAGCGGAGCACCGGACGGCAAAAAGACAGCGGGTTGAGACAGTAGAGGACCCAGGTGGTGCATTGGCCATCTCGTTCAGCCGACCCATGGTACCATCTGGGTCTGTCCCATGACCTGTCTGCAGAAGACCACGGGAAAGTGCACCTAGTCTGGCACAACCGCCCGTGGTGACGTCAACCGCTGCGATGTGGCCAATGGCCAGTGTGTGTGTCGGTGTGTGAGAAGGAGTTGGAGCGACGTAACGCTGGTCACCCTCCCCCTATATGTGTGCCACAGTGCCGGCCTTCATCGGCACTGCTACTCACTACTAACAGCACTTGCCCCAACAGCCTGTTAGGGCTATACGGGGGATCTTTGTCTTATTTACGTGATTGAGAGAGAGAGAAACGCCCGGACCCAGTGCCGAAACCGAGGACATCGGTGATGCTTGCTCAGTGTCTCTAACGTGGCCACTGTGAACCCACCCACAAGGCCATTGTGAAGCCACCCACACGGCCATCGTGAACTCACCCACACGGCCACTGTGAACTCACCCACACGGCCACTGTGAACCCACCCACATGGCCACTCTGAACCCACCCACACGGCCACTGTGAACTCACCCACACGGCCACTGTGAACCCACCCACATGGCCACTCTGAACCCACCCACACGGCCACTGTGAACTCACCCACACGGCCACTGTGAACTCACCCACACGGCCATCGTGAACTCACCCACATGGCCACTGTGAACCCACCCACATGGCCACTGTGAACCCACCCACATGGCCACTCTGAACCCACCCACACGGCCACTGTGAACTCACCCACACGGCCACTGTGAATCCACCCACACGGCCATCGTGAACTCACCCACATGGCCACTGTGAACCCACCCACATGGCCACTGTGAACTCGCCCACACGGCCACTCTGAACCCACCCACACGGCCACTCTGAACCCATCCACATGGCCACTGTGAACCCACCCAAATGGCCACTGTGAATCCACCCACACGGCCACTGTGAACCCACCCACACGGCCACTCTGAACCCACAGACACTGCGACTGTGAACCCACCCACATGGCCAATGTGAACCCACCCACACTGTCACTCTGAACCCACTCACATGGCCATCGTGAACCCACCCACACGGCCACTGTGAACCCACCCACACGGCCACTGTGAACCCACCCACACGGCCACTGTGAACCCACCCACATGGCCACTGTGAACCCACCCACACGGCCACTGTGAACCCCCACCCACACTGCCACTCTGAACCCACCCACATGGCCACTCTGAACCCACCCACACGGCCACTGTGAACCCACCCACACGGCCACTGTGAACCCACCCACACGGCCACTGTGAACCCACCCACATGGCCACTCTGAACCCACCCACACGGCCACTGTGAACCCCCACCCACACTGCCACTCTGAACCCACCCACACGGCCACTGTGAACCCACCCACACGGCCACTCTGAACCCACCCACAATGCCATCGTGAACCCACCCACACTGCCACTCTGAACCCGCCCACACGGCCTCTGTGAACCCACCCACACGGCCACTGAACCCACCCACGGCCACTCAATCCACCCACACGGCCACTGTGAACCCACCCACACGGCCACTGTGAACCCACCCACACGGCCACTGTGAACCCACCCACACGGCCACTGTAAACCCACCCACACGGCCACTGTGAACCCACCCACACGGCCACTGTGAACCCACCCACACGGCCACTCTGAACCCAGCCACACGGCCACTGTGAACCCACCCACACGGTCACTGTGAACCCACCCACACGGCCATCGTGAACCCACCCACACGGCCACTGTGAACCCACCCACACGGCCACTCTGAACCCACCCACACGGCCACTCTGAACCCACCCACACGGCCACTGTGAACCCACCCACAAGGCCAATGTGAACCCACCCACATGGCCACTGTGAACCCACCCACACGGCCACTCTGAACCCACCCACACGGCCACTGTGAACCCACCCACACGGCCACTGTGAACCCACCCACACTGTCACTCTGAACTCACCCACACTGTCACTCTGAACTCACCCACACGGCCTCTGTGAACCCACCCACACGGCCACTGAACCCACCCACGGCCACTCAATCCACCCACACGGCCACTGTGAACCCACCCACACGGCCACTGTGAACCCACTCACACGACCACTGTGAACCCACCCACACGGCCACTGTGAACTCACCCACATGGCCACTGTGAACCCACCCACACGGCCACTGTGAACCCCCACCCACACTGCCACTCTGAACCCACCCACACGGCCACTGTGAACCCACCCACACGGCCATCGTGAACTCACGCTGCCACTCTGAACCCACCCACACGGCCACTCTGAACCCACCCACAATGCCACTCTGAACCCACCCACACGGCCATCGTGAACCCACCCACACTGCCACTCTGAACCCACGCACACGGCCTCTGTGAACCCACCCACACGGCCACTGAACCCACCCACGGCCACTCAATCCACCCACACGGCCACTGTGAACCCACCCACACGGCCACTGTGAACCCACCCACACGGCCACTGTGAACCCACCCACACGGCCATCGTGAACCCACCCACACGGCCACTGTAAACCCACCCACACGGCCACTGTGAACCCACCCACACGGCCATCGTGAACCCACCCACACGGCCACTGTAAACCCACCCACACGGCCACTGTGAACCCACCCTCACGGCCACTGTGAACCCACCCACACGGCCATCGTGAACCCACCCACACGGCCATCGTGAACCCACCCACATGGCCACTGTGAACCCACCCACACGGCCACTGTGAACCCACCCACACGGCCATCGTGAACCCACCCACATGGCCACTGTGAACCCACCCACACGGCCACTGTGAACCCACTCACACGACCACTGTGAACCCACCCACACGGCCACTCTGAACCCACCCACATGGCCACTGTGAACCCACCCACATGGCCACTGTGAACCCACCCACACGGCTACTGTGAACCCACCCACACGGCCACTGTGAACCCCCACCCACACTGCCACTCTGAACCCACCCACATGGCCATCGTGAACCCACCCACACGGCCACTGTGAACCCACCAACATGGCCACTGTGAACCCACCCACACGGCCACTGTGTACCCACCCACATGGCCACTCTGAACTCACCCACACGGCCACTGTGAACCCACCCACACGGCCATCATGAACCCACCCACACGGCCATCATGAACCCACCCACACGGCCACTCTGAACCCACCCACACGGCCACTGTGAACTCACCCACACGGCCATCGTGAACTCACCCACACTGCCACTCTGAACCCACCCACACGGCCACTCTGAACCCACCCACACGGCCACTCTGAACTCACCCACATGGCCACTGTGAACCCACAGACACTGCTACTGTGAACTCAGCTCGTGTGAATTCCTTGACTGTCGGCGGCTCCAGACATTTACCCAAACATCATCGCCATGGGCTTCCCTGCCGAGCGTCTCGAGGGAGTCTACAGGAACAACATCGACGACGTCTTCAAGTACAGAGAGAGAGAGATACACACGGAGATGCATACACAGATATAGGTGCAGAGAGAGAGACGCAGAGAGATACGTGGAGAGTGATGCACAGAGATGAGCGGAGATGGAGAGATATCTAGAGGGTTGGATAGATACACAGAGATAGAGAGATATATACAAAGAGAGAAACACTGAGATACGCAGAGATGGATACACACAGAGATATGGAGTTATATACATTGAGATAGAGAATACAGATACACAGAGATAGGCATAGCCATCGAGAGATAAAAACAACCGCCATTCGCCACTAAGTGGCGGTGACGTCACCACGACACTTGTGCCAGGCCACGTGCACCTTGAGGCCACGTGAAGTGTCGAACGCCCGCGGGCAGGAGGTCACGGGGCAGACCCAGCAGGTGCCACGGGTCGACTGACTGAGATGACCGAGATGACTGGCTGATACACCACCTGTGCCCCCTACTGTGCCAGCCTCTGCTGTGCTTTAGCCACCCGGCGCTCCGCTCGTTGTTGTGAGCGTCGCTCCTCCGCCCTCCGTTGTTGAGAGATATACACACGGAGACATGCACGTATATACAGACACGCGTGTGACAGTGCGACTGAGCGCGTGTGTCGTTTGGGGAACGGTGGCGCAGTGGTTAGCGCTACGTTGCGCTAGGCTGCGCTACAAACCCTGCGACTTGAGTTCGATTCCCGCTCACGGCCAAGACCAGTGGCGACTATTGTAACCGATGCCGGGGCCTCCCCTAGGTTGACTCAGCCTCAAATGAGTTACCTGGTTCGGTGTAGCGTAGTAAACATCGCTAGCGCTGGGGGAGACAAAGGCGGCCGGGCGTGGTGCTGGCCACCCACCCCCCTCCCCCCCACCCGTGTGTCACAGTGCCGGTAGCCTTCATCATAGGTGCTGCTCACTAACAGCGCTTGCACCAGCAGTCTGTTTAGGCTGCACGGGGGATCTTTGTGAGTGTGAGAGTGCTGATAACGGTGATGTTGGTGATGATGTTGGTTGGCAAAACAACCCCCTACCTCCTCGTGGAGCCGGACGGGCAACGCTGTCGTGGGCAGTGCCGTGGGGGGATGGCAAGTTCCGATTGGCCCTCTCCCCTCACGGCGTTTGTAACCACCACAGCGGCCAAACGGGGGCTCTGGACGGGTGCGAGGGGCTGGTAACCCCTCCACCTTGAATTAATTACCACTAAACCACGCCGGAAAAATTGAATTAATAAGCTTGTGCCGTTGGCCCCTGGGGGACAGGCGTCTATGACGTCTCCTGGCCAAACCCCGTTTGGCGGAGCCAGGAGACTGAATCTCTACCCTCGGGGCTCCTCCAAAAACAACGAAAAGCCGCTTCGTGTGGCTACGTGGAATGTTCGAACGCTCACTGCGGAGGAGGAGAGGCTGCCACTCCTCTGTTGGGAGCTGGACCGGCGCCGCCTGAATCTCTGTGGTGTTCAGGAGGTCCGGTGGACCGGCTCTGGCTCCTGCCACCATGAGGGGTGGACAGTCCTCTTCTCGGGGCAGGAGACTGCCAAATAGCAGGGAGTGGCTCTTCTTCTGAACAAAAGAATGAAGGGGGCGTGGGAGCGTGGCGGTGAGGTGTGGGAAGCTAAGCCCCAGGCTACTTTGGGCTCGCCTTCCTATCAACTGGAGGCGAGGAGTGGTGGTCATGGTGACTTATGCCCCCACTGAAGGCATACATCCGTGGAGGGATGCAGGCAACGCCGATGAGTCGGATGTCTTCTATGACCTGTCACAGGTGCTAGCTAAAGTGGCCCCTCGGGATAGAGTCATCTTGTTGGGTGACTTCAATGCACGAGTTGGCCATGATGCTGGCACTTGGTCTTGAGTGATTGGAAGGCATGGACCAGATCAACTCAATAACAACGGCAGGAGGCTGAGATTTTTGTGCAGCCCATGGGCTTGTAATTACCAACACGCTGTTCCAGCATCGGCGCATCCACACTATCATGGATGCATGCCGGGTTCAAGCAAGAACATCTGCTGGACTACGCAGTGACGGAACAGCGGATGCGGGCCCTTGTCCTTGACACCAGGATCTACCGTGGAGATGATCTGCCCACTGACCATCGACTTGTCATCTGTAAGATGCACCTGCCATTCTTCCACTCCAGTGGTGGGTGTACACCCAGGACCCCATTCAAACATTTAGTGGCATGGTCTCAGCTAGCTGATGAAAGATGCAAGCGAGAATTTCATCATCACTTGCGGCTGGGGTTTGCATTGTCTCCCACTCCTGATGTCGAGGGGAAATGGGCGAGGTTTAGGACTGTGGCTCATTCAGCTGCAATGGCTGCTTTGGGTTCATGGCCCAGACCTCCCCAGAGACCCTGGCTAACAGAGGAGGTGTTCAAGCTGGCCTGGAAAAAGCGACAGGCCCACTCATTGGCTCCAGCATCCCACGTCGGAGAATGAGGAGGCTTACCACAGCCTTCGTTCGGAGGTTCGGAGAGCCATGAGTCGCTGCAAGGATGGGTGGTGTGTGAGGAGCTCACAAATCCTTGAAAGATCTGGATAAAGTCCCATCGGCGAGCTCCTCCGGCAGGCAAGGCTGCGATGGCTGGGTCATGTAGCCCGCATGTCCAACCACCGCATACCTAAACAGCTTTTGTTCGGCCGGATTGAGGGGACTAAACGGGCGCGGCACGGGCTAGAGAAGAGATGGACTGACGTGGTACAGGAGGACGTGGAGCTGAGTGGACTTGCCGATGACTGGTACCAGCGGTGTCAAGATCGGCCTCTGTGGAGGAGGCTCGTGAAGGATGCTACTGGGCAGTTGGAGGTAGTCGCCCTCCAACAACAACGGAGGGCGGAGGAGCGACGCTCACAACAACGAGCGGAGCGCCAGGTGGCCAAAGCACAGCGGGTTGGCACAGTAGGGGGGCACAGGTGGTGCATCAGCCAGTCGTCTCGGTCGTCTCAGTCAGTCGACCCGTGGCACCTGCTGGGTCTGCCCCGTGACCTCCTGCCAGCGAGCGTTCGACACTTCACGTGGCCTCAAGGTGCACCTAGCCTGGCACAAGCGTCGTGGTGACATCACCGTCACTTAGTGGCGAATGGCGCTTGTTGCTGATGATGAAGCTGATGTTGCTGCTAATGATGATGATACTGATGATGATGCTGATGTTGCTGGTAATGATGATGATACTGATGATGATGCTGATGCTGTTTGTACAGGTTCCTGGAGAAAAAACACAAAGATCATTACAAGATCTATAACCTGTGAGTGTGAGCCCCAGACATTAACACTGAACCCTACGGGAATGTGAGTGATTAACACTGAACCCTACGGGAGTGTCAGTGATTAACACAGAACCCTACGGGAGTGTGAGTGATTAACACTGAACCCTACGGGAGTGTCAGTGATTAACACAGAACCCTACGGGAGTGTGAGTGATTAACACTGAACCCTACGGGAGTGTCAGTGATTAACACTGAACCCTACGGGAGTGTCATTGATTAACACTGAACCCTACGGGAGTGTCAGTGATTAACACTGAACCCTACGGGAGTGTCAGTGATTAACACTGAACCCTATGGGAGCCCCAGTGATTAACACTGAACCCTATGGGAGCCCCAGACATTAACACTGAACCCTATGGGAGCCCCAGACATTAACACTGAACCCTACGGGAGTGCCAGTTATTAACACTGAACCCTATGGGAGTGTCAGTGATTAACACCGAACCCTTTGGGAGCCCCTGACATTAACACTGAACCCTATGGGAGCCTCAGTGATTAACACTGAACCCTATGGGAGCCCCTGACATTAACACTGAACCCTATGGGAGCCCCAGACATTAACACTGAACCTTATGGGAGCCTCAGAGAGTAACACTGAACCCTATGGGAGCCCCAGTGATTAACACTGAACCCTATGGGAGCCTCAGTGATTAACACTGAACCCTATGGGAGCCCTAGTGATGAATACTGAACCCTACGGGAGTGCCAGTTATTAACACTGAACCCTATGGGAGTGTCAGTGATTAACACCGAACCCTTTGGGAGCCCCTGACATTAACACTGAACCCTATGGGAGCCTCAGTGATTAACACTGAACCCTATGGGAGCCCCTGACATTAACACTGAACCCTATGGGAGCCCCAGACATTAACACTGAACCTTATGGGAGCCCCAGTGAGTAACACTGAACCCTATGGGAGCCCCAGTGATTAACGCTGAACCCTACGGGAGCCCCAGTGATTAACACTGAACCCTGTGGGAGCCCCAGAGATTAACACTGGACCCTATGGGAGTCTCAGTGATTAACACTGAACCCTATGGGAGCCCCAGACATTAACACTGAACCCTACGGGAGCCCCAGTGAATAACACTGAACCCTATTGGAGTGTCCGAGATTAATCAGGGCAGCTGCTGGATTTGAACCGTGTTGTTATCTTGTTGTGTTTAGGTGTGCAGAGAGACATTACGATGCCTCAAAGTTTATGAAGAGAGGTGATTACCTACTCACCCACTCACTCATCCACTCACCCACTCACTCACCCACTCACTCACCTACTCACTCCCCTGCCCACTCCCCTGCCCACTCACCCACTCATCCACTCCCCTGCCCACTCACCCATTCACCTACCCACTCACCCACTCACCCACTCACCTACCCACTCACCTACGCACTCACCCACTCCCCTACCCATTCACCCACTCCCCTACCCATTCACCCACTCATCCACCCACCCACTTATCCACCCACGTACTCAATTACTCACCTACCCGCTCACCTACCCATTCACCTACTCACCTACCCACTCACCTATGCACGCACTCACTCACCCACTCACCTACCCACTCACCCACTCACCCAGCCACTCACCCACTGACATACCCACTCATCTACTCACCCGCTGACTTCCACCCGCTCACTAACTTTGTTACCCACTCTCCCACCCACTCACTCACTGATGCCTGTGGCTGATATTGACTAAATGTATGAGAAATAAATTACATTCAGCTCTAGCGGTCATTGAAATACGTTGCAATGAAAACCTCCGTCTCCTTCCCGTGTTTCATCCTCCTCCCTGTGTCTCTCTCCTCCCCGTGTCTCTCTCCTCCCCGTGTCTCTCTCCTCCTCCTCATCCTCCCCGTGTCTCTCTCCTCCCCGTGTCTCTCTCCTCCTCCACCTCCTCCCCGTGTCTCTCTCCTCCTCCACCTCCTCCCCGTGTCTCCCTCCACCTCCACCCCGTGTCTCTCTCCTCCTCCCCGTGTCTCGCTCCTCCTCCACCTCCACCCCGTGCCTCTCTCCTCCACCTCCCCATGCCTCCCTCCACCTCCCCGTGTCTCCCTCCTCATGTCTCTCTCCTCCCCGTGTCTCCCTCCTCCTCCTCCCCGTGTCTCTCTCCTCTACCTCCCCGTGTCTCTCTCCTCCACCTCCCCGTGTCTCCCTCCTCCACCTCCCCGTGTCTCTCTCCTCCACTTCCCCGTGTCTCCCACCTCCCCGTGTCTCTCTCCTCCACCTCCCCGTGTCTCTCTCCTCCCCGTGTCTCTCTCCTCCACCTCCCCGTGTCTCTCTCCTCCACCTCCCCGTGTCTCTCTCCTCCACCTCCCCGTGTCTCTCTCCTCCCCGTGTCTCCTCCACCTCCCCGTGTCTCTCTCCTCCACTTCCCCGTGTCTCCCACCTCCCCGTGTCTCTCTCCTCCACCTCCCCGTGTCTCTCTCCTCCCCGTGTCTCTCTCCTCCACCTCCCCGTGTCTCTCTCCTCCACCTCCCCGTGTCTCCCACCTCCCCGTGTCTCCCTCCTCCCCGTGTCTCTCTCCTCCACCTCCCCGTGTCTCTCTCCTCCACCTCCCCGTGTCTCCCACCTCCCCGTGTCTCCCTCCTCCCCGTGTCTCTCTCCTCCACCTCCCCGTGTCTCTCTCCTCCCCGTGTCTCCCTCCTCCACCTCCCCGTGTCTCTCTCCTCCCCGTGTCTCTCTCCTCCACCTCCCCGTGTCTCTCTCCACCTCCCCGTGTCTCTCTCCTCCCCGTGTCTCCTCCACCTCCCCGTGTCTCTCTCCCTCCACCTCCCCCATCCTCCATCCCCCCCCCCACCTCCCCCCACCTCCCCCCACCTGCCCCCCCCCCCCCCACTCCGCTCGCCTGGTGACCCCCCCCCTCCCCCCGGCGGCGACAGTGGCCGAGTTCCCCTTTGACGACCACAACCCGCCCAAGCTGGAGCTGATCCGGCCCTTCTGCGAAGACCTCGACTCGTGGCTCAGCGGCTCCGAGCACAACGTCGCCGCCATCCACTGCAAGGCCGGCAAGGGGCGCACGGGTGTCATGATCTGCTCCTACCTCCTGCACCGGCACAAGTTCAGCAGCGCGCGCGAGGCGCTGGACTACTACGGCCAGGCGCGCACACGCGACAAGAAGGTGGGTGGGTGGGTGGGGGACGGGGTGGGTGGGTGGGGGGGGTAGACACGGTGGTGGGGGGGGTGGGGTGGTGGGGGGGGGGGAGATGTGTGGGGGGAGAGTCTCCTTGTCTCCGTGTCTCGCCAAAGGGGGCCACAGGTGATGGCGCATCTGCCGGTCATCTCGGTCGGTCGACCCGTGGTCACCTGTAGGGTCTGCCTCCCCCGTGACCACCTCCTCCTCCTCGTGCACCTAGCCTGGCACAGCAGCACTCAACCCGTGGCACCTGTAGGGTCTGCCTCCCCCGTGACCACCTCCTCCTCGTCGTGCACCTAGCCTGGCACAGCAGCACTCGACCCGTGGCACCTGCAGGGTCTGCCCCCATGACCTCCCTCCTCCTCGTGCACCTAGCCTGGCACAGCAGCACTCGACCCGTGGCACCTGCAGGGTCTGCCCCCGTGACCTCCTCCTCCTCGTGCACCTAGCCTGGCACAGCAGCACTCAACCCGTGGCACCTGCAGGGTCTGCCCCCATGACCTCCTCCTCCTCCTCGTGCACCTAGCCTGGCACAGCAGCACTCGACCCGTGGCACCTGCAGGGTCTGCCCCCGTGACCTTCTGCCAGCGGGCGCCCGACACTTCACGTGGCCTCAACGTGCACCTAGCCTGGCACAGGTGCCGTGGTGACGTCACCGCCACCTCGTGGCGAATGGAGGCTGTTGTTTTTTATTTAAAGCTGTCGTGACTGCAGCGATTCATATTCTTAGCTCTTTCGGTAAAGTCACCACGTTGAAGGGAAACAATAAAATATATATGAAACAATAAAAATTCTCACGACGTTTCGACCGTAACACAAACGGTCGTCATCAGGTGTGAAAGCCAACGGCAAGATACAAATGTTTCCCTTCAACGTGACTTTACCGAAAGAGCTAAGAATATGAGGCTGTTGTTGTTGTTGTTGTGGTGCTTGTGTCTGTGTGTGTGTGTGCGTGTTTGCTCACTAACAGCACTTGCCCCAACAGTCTGTTAAGGCTACACGGGCACGGAGGGGGGGGGGGGGGGGAGGGGCGGGGAATCTTTAATTTTGTGTATATCTGTAAGTCTTCATACGTCTGTGTGTGTGTGTCTGTGTGCACGTGTGTCCGTGTTTGTGTGTGCGCCGTGTGTGTCCGTGTGTGTGTGTGCGCCGTGTGTGTCCGTGTGTGTGTTTGTGTGCCCGTGTGTGTGTGTGTCCGTGTGTGCGCCGTGTGTGTCCGTGTGTGTGTTTGTGTGTCCGTGTGTGCGCCGTGTGTGTCCGTGTGTGTGTTTGTGTGTCCGTGTGTGCGCCGTGTGTGTCCGTGTGTGTGCGGTGTCGCTCTGCCCCCACCCCCCCCCCCCCCCCCCCCCCCCCCCCGATGGCAGGGCGTGACAATCCCGTCCCAGAGGCGCTACGTGTACTACTACAGCTACCTGGTGACGCACGCTCTCGAGTACCGCTCCACGCCCGTGCTGCTGCACAAGATCACGTTCGAGACCATCCCCATGTTCAGCGGAGGGACCTGCAGTGAGTGCAGTTGAAGTGGCAAAATTCTCTGGGCTCTGCGTGCCGGGAGAGTTCGGAGTTCACGCGCGAGTTGCGTATCCAACGTGCCAATCTCTGTGGGTCTTGGTCTCTATGGGTATCTCTGTGGGTGTCTCTGTGGGTCTCTGTGGGTCTCTATGGGTCTGGGTGTCTGTGGGTCTCTATGGGTCTGTGGGTCTCTGTGGATGTCTGGGCAGTCTTGGTCTCTATGGGTATTTCTTTGGGTGTCTCTGAGGGTCTCTGTGGATGTCTGGGTGTCTGGATCTCTGTGGGCTCTATGGTTCTCTGTGGATGTCTCTGTGGGTCTCTGTGGATGTCTGTGGCTCTGTGGATGTCTGTGGCTCTGGGTATCTGGGTCTCTATGGGCGACTCTGTGGGTCTGGGTGTCTGGGTCTATGTGGGTGTCTCTTTGGTTCTCTGTGGATGTCTGGGTGTCTGTGGTTCTCTGTGTGTGTATGTTGAACTTCTTTTGCAATGTACATAGCCAACCGTGCCAATCTGTGGGTCTTTGTGGGTCTATGGATGTCTATATACACGTTTCTGTGGGTGTCTCTATGGGTGTTTCTGTGGGTCTCTGTGGGTCTCCGTGTCTGTGTTGAACTTCTTTGGCATCATTTGTAGCCAGCCATTGCTAATCTGTAGGTTTCTGTAGGACTATGGGTATCTCTCTGCGTATCTCGGTCTTTATGGGTCTCGGTGTCTCTGTGTGTGTGCGTATGTTGAATTTTCACACCGTACGTAGCCGACTGTGCTAATGTTTGGGTCTCTGTAGGTCTATGGGTGTCTCTGTGGGTTTCTGTGTGTCTCTGTGAGTCTATGAGTGTCTCCACTAGGTCTATGTGTCTGTGGGTCTGGGTGTTTGTGGGTCTCTATGGGTCTGGGTGTCTATGTGTCTGTGGGTCTGGGTGTCTGTGGGTCTCTATGAGTCTGGGTGTCTGTGGGTCTCTATGGGTCTGGGTGTCTGTGGGTGTCTGTGGGTCTCTATGGGTCTCGGTGTCTGTGGGTCTCTATGAGTCTCGTGTCTGTGGGTCTCTATGGGTCTGGGTGTCTGTGGGTCTCTGTGGGTCTCTGAGTCTGGGTGTCTGTGGGTCGCTATGGGTCTGGGTGTCTGTGGGTCTCTATGGGTCTGGGTGTCTGTGGGTCTCTATGGGTCTGGGTGTCTGTGGGTCTCTATGGGTCTGGGTGTCTGTGGGTCTCTATGAGTCTGGGTGTCTGTGGGTCTCTATGGGTCTGGGTGTCTGTGGGTCTCTATGGGTCTGGGTGTCTGTGGGTCTCTATGGGTCTGGGTGTCTGTGGGTCTCTATGGGTCTGGGTGTCTGTGGGTCTCTATGGGTCTCAGTGTCTGTGGGTCTTTATGGGTCTGGGTGTCTGTGGGTCTCTATGGGTCTGGGTGTCTGTGGGTCTCTATGGGTCTGGGTGTCTGTGGGTCTCTATGGGTCTGGGTGTCTGTGGGTCTCTATGGGTCTGGGTGTCTGTGAGTCTCTATGGGTCTGGGTGTCTGTGGGTCTCTGTGGGTCTGGGTGTCTGTGGGTCTCTATGAGTCTGGGTGTCTGTGGGTCTCTATGGGTCTGGGTGTCTGTGGGTCTTTATGGGTCTGGGTGTCTGTGGGTCTCTATGGGTCTGGGTGTCTGTGGGTCTCTATGGGTCTGGGGTGTCTGTGGGTCTCTCTGCGCGTACGTGCGTTGAACCTCTTCCACACCGCGCTAAGCCAACCACGCTAATTGGCGGTACGGCGGGCGGGGGCGGTGGGTGGGGATGGAGGGGAAGAGCATCAAACCAAACGCAACAAAGCGGTTCAAAATAAACGAGTTTCTCAGTCTGGACGATGATTTAAAAGGCCGCAGCTCCAGTGGCTCCCTGAGAGCGGAGAGGGGCAAGAACGTTCCAGACGGTCCGCAGTAGCTGCCCCGCTTGAAAGCGCTGCTTGCTAATGCGCCGACTGCCGCCTTTGTCCGATGGCGCAGCCGAAAAGCCGCCGTGAGGCATAGCATAGTTCTCGTGAAGATGGTTTACCCCTCCATCATCATCATCACCACCACCACCACCATTACCATCACCATCCATGGTGGGCAGATAGGCCGTAGGTGTCTGCTGCACATTTCATCATCGTATGACAACGTGCTTTTTTTGCGTAGCGTATGGTGTATTGGATGTAGCGAAGAGTGTTTCTGTGTGTTTCTAGTTCACGCCTCGCGGTGTACAAGGAGGTGAAACTGCTGTCGTCGTACGTGTGGAGAGAGAGGACCGCTGTCAGTGTCTATAGTGTAGTGTATAGTGTAGTGTATATTGTGTGTAGTGTATAGTGTATATTGTGTGTAGTGTATAGTGTATATTGCGTAGTGTGTAGTATATAGTGTAGTGTATAGTGTGTGTAGTGTATAGTGTATATTGTGTAGTGTATAGTGTATATTGTGTAGTATATAGTGTAGTGTATAGTGTGTGTAGTGTGTAGTATAGTGTAGTGTGTAGTATAGTGTATAGTAGTGTATGTAGTGCATAGTAGTGTATAGTGTAGTGTATAGTAGTGTAGTGTATGGTGTGTAGTAGTGTGTAGTGTATAGTGTAGTGTATAGTAGTGTAGTGTGTAGTGTATATAGTGCAGTGTATAGTGTAGTGTATAGTAGTGTAGTGTACAGTGTAGTGTAGTGTATGATGTATCTACCTGTGTGTGTGTTAGACCCACACCTGGTGGTGTACAAGGAGAAGATGAAGCTGCTTTCATTGTCGTGCGTGCGGAGGGAGGACCGCTGTTTGGTCTTCACGCTGCCCCGGGCGTTGCTCCTCTGCGAGGACGTCAAGATGGAGTTCTTCAACAAGCAGAACATGATGATGAAAAAGGTGGCTTCTGCTGCACACACAAACAGACACACACACAGATACAGGCACATACATACACATACATACAAACACACACAGACGCACACAAACACACAAATAGATACAGACACACATGCACACACAGACGCACAGATACAGACACATACATACACATACATACACATACACACAGACGCACACACAGATACAGACACACAACAGCAGCAACAACAACAACCGCCATTCGCCACTAAGTGGCGGTGACGTCACCACGACGCTTGTGCCAGGCTATGTGCACCCTGAGGCCACGTGAAGTGTCGAACGCCCGCTGGCAGGAGGTCACGGGGCAGACCCAGGTGCCACGGGTCGACTGACTGAGATGACTGGCTGATGCACCACCTGTGCCCCCTACTGTGGCAACCTGCTGTGCTTTAGCCACCCGGCGCTCCGCTCGTTGTTGTGAGCGTCGCTCCTCTGCCCTCCGTTGTTGTTGGAGGGCGGGCGACTGCCTCCAACCGTCCAGTCACGTCCTTCACGAGCCTCCTCCACAGAGGCCGATCTTGACACTGCTGGTACCGGTCATCGTCAAGTCCACTCAGCTCCACGTCCTCCTGTACCACATCACTCCATCTCTTCTCTAGCCCGTGCCGCGCCCGTTTAGCCCTCTCGATCCGGCCGAACAAAAGCTGTTTAGGCATGCGGTGGCGGGCATGCGGGCTACATGACCCAGCCAACGCAGCCTTGCCTGCCGGAGAAGCCCACTGATGGGACTTTGCCCAGATCTTTCAAGGATTTGTGAGCTCCTCACACAATCCAGCCTGGTTAAACCCAGGATGGATCGTAGGCAGGCCAGCCCTAAATGTTTCTAACCGGCGAAGATGTTCCATTAGGGTGGTCCACAGCTAGATACACACAGTTACACACATACAGACACATACACGGATACAAACACACACACACATACTGAAATACACACACAAACACAGACACACACAAAGATGCAGACACACAAAGATACAGACACACACAGATACACACACAGATATAGACAAGACCCACAGATACAGACAGACACACAGATAGACACACATACAGACACATATACAAAGACACTCACACAGACACACAGATAAAGACGTACACACACAGATACAGACACACAGACAGAGATACAGACACACACAGATAAGGACACACACAGACACACACAGACACACACACACACATACAGACACACACATACAACAACAACAACCGCCATTCGCCACTAAGTGGCGGTGACGTCACCACGACGCTTGTGCCAGGCTATGTGCACCCTGAGGCCACGTGAAGTGTCGAACGCCCGCTGGCAGGAGGTCACGGGGCAGACCCAGGTGCCACGGGTCGACTGACTGAGATGACTGGCTGATGCACCACCTGTGCCCCCTACCGTGCCAACCTGCTGTGCTTTAGCCACCCGGTGCTCCGCTCGTTGTTCTGAGCGTCGCTCCTCCGCCCTCCGTTGTTGTTGGAGGGCGACTACCTCCAACTGCCCAGTAGCATCCTTCACGAGCCTCCTCCACAGAGGCCGATCTTGACGCCGCTGGTACCAGTCATCGGCAAGTCCACTCAGCTCCACGTCCTCCTGTACCACATCACTCCATCTCGTCTCTAGCCCGTGCCGCGCCCGCTTAGCCCCCTCAATCCGGCCCATCAAAAGCTGTTTCGGCATGCGGTGGCTGGGCATGCGGGCTACATGACCCAGCCATCGCAGCCTTGCCCGCCGGAGGAGCTCACCGATGGGACCTTGCCCAGATCTTTCAAGGATTTGTAAGCTCCTCACACAATCCAGTCTGGTTAAACCCAGGATGGATCGTAGGCAGGCCAGCCTAAATGTTTCTAACCGGCGAAGATGTTCCATTAGGGGGCCCACATTTCGCAAGCGTAGAGAAGGGAGGGAATGACCGTGGCCGAGAAGACCTGAAGCTTAGTGCGGAGCGACAGACCAGGTAGCTTCCACACAGCATTACGCAACCGATGAAAAGATATTGCCGCTCGACTGATTCGGAGTGAGACCTCTGCTGTTAAACTGGAGCCAATCATAAGCACACTGCCCAGGTATGGGAAACTCTCCACTCTCTCCACAACTGCCCCATCACCGATTGGGAGTTGTGGGGGTGGAGTGTCCGATGGTACAAAATACCCAGGCAGGTGCTTAGTTTTGGTGGGGCTGATGGTAAGGCCCCACCTCTTAGTGGCACGCTCCAGTCTCAGCAGCAGCGTCTCCAACTCCTCCTCTGACTGAGCAGCTATTACCAAATCATCAGCATACATAACGTGGTTGAGCAATAGGGAGCCATCCCTTGACCGTACCCGGGCATCAATCAGCCTCCCATTATATCTGTACCATATGGAGATTCCCCCGGTACAGCTATTGAAGGCTTCACGAACTACGTGGTCAAAATAGATGTTAAATAATGTGGGAGCCAGAGGACATCCCTGTCGCACCCCAAGGTGTACAGGGAATGGCTCTGACTCCCGGCCACGTAGTTTTACCCGGGCCCGCTCACCATCATGAAGGTCCTTAATGATCGTGAGCAGAGGGTCAGGTACTCCAAAAGCACGAAGAACGACCCAGAGCCCAGGCCTACTGATGGTATCATAGGCCTTGACCAGATCAATAAAGAAGAGATGTAGGTCTTGTTGGAATTCCCTACACCTCTGCTGTAGCAGACGGACAGAAAATATGGCATCTGTGCAGGACCGCCCTTTCCTGAAACCGCATTGGGGCTCCGCAAGCCTCTCCTCAGCGTGCCTGGCAAGGCGATGCTGAATAATCCTTGCCAGGACCTTTCCCGGCACACTGAGGAGTGAGATGCCCCTGTAGTTGTTACAGTCTGTGCGGTCCCCCTTCTTAAAAAGGGGGACCACCAGGGCATCCTTCCAATCCTGCGGAACCCGTCCAGTGGTCCAGACTGTTGTTATGATGTCATATAGGGCAGTCTGTGCACAAACGCCACCCTCCCTCAGCATTTCGCTTGGGAGATCATCTCTGCCCGCTGCCTTCCTGGTCTCAGACTCCGGATCGCCTTCAGTACTTCCTCAACAGATGGCACCTCAGCCAGCCACTCACAGGGGGTGACTTCTTCTAATATTTGAGTCACCGCAGCCTCAGCAGGGTCATCCTCACTTTGTGCCACGATATTTTCCTGGCTGAGGGATTTTCCCTCCCCCAGGACCTCACAGAAATGCTCAGCAAATCTGCAAACCTGTTCCTGGGGGTCGGAGATTGGATCACCGTTTTTTCCCCTAATGATGGTAATAGGTGTGGCGCTGCAGGTTACCTTTTTGATGGAGTTAAATAGAGATTTGTGATCACGGGCCACTGAGGCAGACTCCATCTCCTCAGCAACCCGCGACCACCACCCATCCTTGCAGCGCCTCACGGCTCTCCGAACCTCCGAGCGAAGGCTGCGGTAAGCCTCCTCATTCTCTGACGTGGGATTCTGTAGCCGATGACAGTGGGCCTGTCGCTTTTTCTCAACCATCCTGAACACCTCCTCTGTCAGCCAGGGTCTCTGGGGAGGTCTGGACCACGTACCTAAAGCAGCCATTGCAGCTGCATGAGTCACAGTCCTAAACCTCGCCCATTTACCCTCGACATCAGGAGGAGTCGGGGACGATGCCAATCCCAGCCGCAAGCGATGATGAAATTCTCGCTTGCAACTTTCATCAGATAACTGAGACCAGGCCACTTTAGGTCGGAATGGGGTCCTGGGTGTACACCCACCACCGGAGTGGAAGAATGGCAGGCGCATCTTACAGATGACTAGTCGATGGTCAGAGGGCAGATCAGCTCCACGGTAGGTCCTGGTGTCAAGGACATGGGCTCGCATCTGCTGGTCCGTCACTATGTAGTCCAGCAGATGTTCTTGCTTGGACCCGGCATGCATCCATGATGTTGTGTGGATGCGCCGATGCCAGAACAGCGTGTTGGTAATTACAAGCCCACACATACAGACACACACACACACATACAGACACACACAGATAGACACACACAGATACAGACACACACAGATACAAAGATCCCCCATATAGCCTTGACAGACTGTAGGAGCAAGTGCTGTTAGCGAGCACCTATGAAGGCCGGAACGGTACACGAGGGGGTGGGTGGCCAGCACCACGCCCGACCGCCTTTGTCTCCCTAGTGGCAATGTTTACACACCACACCAGGTACTCATTTGAGGCTGAGTCGACCTAGGGGAGGCCCGGGACCGGTTCAGATAATCGTCACTGGTGTTGGCCGTGAGCGGGAATCGAACCCGTGTCGCCAGGTTCATAACGCAGCGCGCTAACCGCTACACTATCGCTCCCCATACACACAGATACACACAGATACAGACACACAGATACAGACACTCGCACAGACACACAGATAAAGACGTACACACACAGATACAGACACAGACACACACACAGAGACACACACACAGAGACACACACACAGACACACACACAGACACACACACACAGATGTATACACACAGATACAGATGCACAGATAGACACACACACATAGATGCAGACACACACACAGATGCAGACACACACACAGATGCAGACACACACATACAGACACACACACATACAGACACACACGCACAGACACACACGCACAGACACACACACAGACACACACACAGACACACACACAGACACACACACAGATACAGACGCACAGATAGACACACACACAGATGCAGACACACACAGTGATAGATGCACAGACAAAGTTCCCCCGTGTAGCCTCAACATACTGTTGGTACCAGTGCTGTTAGCGAGCAGCACCTACGAAGGCCGGCAATGTGGCACGTGCGGGGGGGGGGTGGTGGGTGGCCACCACAACGCCTGGCTGCCTTTGTCTCTTCCTAGTGCCGAAGTATACTACCTCACACCGTACCAGGTTCTCATTTGAGGCTGAGCCGACCTAGGGGAGGCCCAGGACCGGTACAGATAATTGTAACCGGTGTTCATAATAAAGACTTTTTTTGGTTAGATTGCGTTATTTATAAATGTGTCGCAACACTCCACCGCCCGCCAAATCAAGCTCGAACAACGACACTTCTGAAAGTGATCAAAGTATCAAAAGAATTAAAATACCATATATCTCGGGAGTTACTGACAAATTGGCCCGTGTCTTGCAAAAGCAAAAAATTCAAGTGAGATTTGGTACGGTACACAAAATTCCAAAACTAGCGTCTTGTACGAAAGGTGAATTACCGAAGTTATCAACAGAAGGCGCACATCGGATTAATTGTCTTTTGCGGTAAGTGTTATGTTGGACAGACGGGACGTAACATCAGCGTAAGACTAAAATAACATCAAAGGAATATTAAATTCTCCCAAATGCAGCTGTCAGCAGTGGCAGAGCATGCTTGCCAACAAGGACATTCATACCTGGATTCTGGCTTAGCAATCATTGGAAGGATTTGATAAACTATTTCAGGTCTTAATTGATTGTTCACGCTTACGGTGGCTTTCAGACAGCATACATTAATTTTTTGTCTCCCCCCTCTTTTCAGAACATAGATGGACTCGTCCTTCTAAATAAACTGCCAAATCGCTGCACGTGGCGCTGATGGTTTTTAAATAAATAAATGCACCGTTTAAAAATAAATTAATGCGAACCGACACTTCTTTCAAATGTTTCTTGCCGTTGGTTTTTCCACACCTGATGACGACCGTTTGTGTTATGGTCGAAACGTCGTGAGAATTTTTATTGTTTTATATTTATTTTATTATTTTATTGTTTCCCTTCAACGTGACTTTACCGAAATAGCTAAGAATATGATTTTGATAACGTTGAAGTGTTGTGCAGAACTAATTATTACTGGCCAAGATTAGAGAATCAATTGAAATTGGGAAGAATTCAAATCATTTTAATTGCTCTGATAGCTATAAACTCAGCGCAGCCTGGAAGCGTATTATTAAGTAATACACAACACACATTGCAATTCCTTACAGGTGCGTCACATGCTGAGTGGCTGATTACTGATCTATTACATCACCTCCACCTCTGATCTCGAATCCTGATGGGGTTCAACAATGGTCATCCTGCTGCACTATTTAAGACCGGGAGCAAGTGAATGGCTTCATGATTCTGGCAAATCGCCCGAAGATGCTGGATGTAATTTCCAGCGAAACGTCGCTGCTACTCAAACTGTAAATGTTGTGGATCCACTCTTAAACACACACCGGTGGGCTAAAGTAGTGAACTCTTTGGTCTTTTGTCAACGTGTCACTTTTTTTTTACTGATTGTCAGTGTCGGGTGGTGGAGGGCTTACGACACAGCGTTGGTGGTGTAACGGTGCTTATTTCAGGAATATTTTGATGTTTTTTTCCTGGATTTTCTGTTTTGCACACAGTCAACACATAGTCACTTTAAGATGTTTTTTCTTGTTCGTGTTTTTGTGTTTGTTGCGGTTGCACTCCGATTAAAGAGCCGAATGGCTCACAGGGCTTTTACCAAAAAAAATAAATGGAAAAATGTAACTATAACACGTTTATAAATAACGCGATCTGACCCGAAAACCTTCATTATGAACCAGCTTTACTACCCGGCTTCGCCTGGGACTTCCCCTCCCTCTCTCGCCCTTTTCCCTCCCTCGCTCCCCCACTCTCCCCACTCTCTCCGCCCCACCACCACCCCGTGTAGATGTTCCACTTCTGGATCAACACGTTCTTCATCCAGGAGGGTCTCCCATCCAGCGGCGGTGGGGGCTACATCGGCGCTCCCGCGGGCCTCAACGGCGCCCCCCCTGACGGAGGGGCCGGGGCCGGGGCCGGGGGGGCCGGGGCCGGGGGAGCCGGGGGAGCCGCGGGGGCCGCGGCCGGAGCCGCGGCCGGCGGGGGAGCCCCCGGGGCGGCGGCCGGCGGAGGAGCCCCCGGGGCGGGGGCGGCGCTCCCCGGGACGTCCGGCGGCGGCGGCGGCGGCGGCGGCGGCGGCGGCGGCGCCGGCGGCGCCCCGGCCTGTGTGCAGCTGGAGGCCGGGCCCGGAGGGTCGCCGCGCTTCCTGACGCTCACCCTCAACAAGGCGGAGCTGGACAGGGCGAACAAGGACAAAGCCAACAAGTGCTTCTCTCCCAACTTCAAGGTGCGGGGTGTTTTGGGGAGCGGTTGGGGGTAGGGTGGGTAGGGCGGGCGAGCCGTATTCACGGTGGTGGCCCCGGTTGGTGGGGTGGATGGGGGTGAGGATCACGATGGCTGTGTCGGTGTCCCTAGGCTGGATTAAAACTCCGTTCTCCTTCTACCTACCTCATCCTTTCCCCACCCCTCGTATTTAACCCCCCCCCCGTGTCTCTACCCCCCCCCCCCGTGTCTCTACCCCCCCCCGTGTCTCTACCCCCCCCGTGTCTCTACCCCCCCCCGTGTCTCTACCCCCCCCCCCGTGTCTCTACCCCCCCCCCCGTGTCTCTACCCCCCCCCGTGTCTCTACCCCCCCCCGTGTCTCTACCTCCCCCCCGTGTCTCTCTACCCCCCCCCCATGTCTACCCCCCCGTGTCTCTACCCCCCCCCCCCCGTGTCTACCACCCCCCCCCTCCCCCCCCCCCACCGCCACAGGTGAAGCTCTACTTCACCGCGGCCAGTGAGGAGCGAGTGGCCGACGCGGCCGCCGCCGACACCGCCGCAGCGGCGGCGGCGGCGGCGGCGGCGGCGGCGGCGGCCCAGTACTCGGCCTCCTCCTCCTCCTCCTCCTCCTGGTCCTCCACCTCCTCGCTCGTCCACAGCCCGGGCCCCGCGCAGCCTCCCCAGGGCGGCCTCGCCCCCTACTGCCTCGGCGAGCTCGGCGGCGGCGGAGGCGGCGGCGGCGGCGGCCGCGCCGCCGCCTCCGGGGCAAGGGCCCCCTGCGGACACTTCGACGGCGGCGGCGGCGAGCGGCCGTCCTCGGCGCTGGGGGGGTTCGCCCCCTGCGGACTCGTAGACGGCGGCGGCGGCGGCGGCGGCGCGGCGGGGACGACGGCGTGGATGGTGGGCGGTGGCGGACACCACCACCACCACCACCACCATCAGCATCATCAGCATCAGCAGCAGCACCTCCACCTCCTACACCACCACCAGCAGCAGCAGCAGCAGCATCACGGTGGCGGCTCCGCGGTTGGGCCGGGCGGCCGACCGCCGGCCCTGATTCCCGGCGGCGACTGCTACGGCCTTGCCGTCGGCGGCGTCGGCGGCGTCGGCGGCGGCGGCATCGGCGGCGTCGGCGCGGCGCTCTGTCCGGCGGAGCTGCCGGACGCGGACGCCGAGGACTTCCACTACTCGGACACGTCCGAGTCTGACCCGGAGATGGACACCATGGACCCGGAGCAGCAGCAGCAGCAGATCACCAAGGTGTGACGGCGGAGAGAGACGGCACGCCTGGCAGGGGGGGTGGGTGGGTGGGAGGCGGGAACGGAGGGGGAGAGGGGGGGACGAGGAGACGGTGATGATGATGATGATGATGGAGGAGGAGGAGGAGGAGGAGGCGGAGACACGGGGGAAGGATGAGGAGGGGAAGTCGACGCTGGATCAGCTGAAGGAGAAGTGAGACGAGAGGGAGGGCACGAGGGGAAACGAGATTGGGGAGAGAATAGGAAGAGTGACACGGGGGGGGGGGGGGGGTGAGGAGGTGCAGGAGAGAGAGAAGAGGAGGAGAAAGAGGAGGAGGAGAAAGAGGAGGAGGATGGTAAGAAGAGGAAGGGGGTGGTGGCGGGGGAGAGGGTGGGGTGGATTTGAGTGAAGAGAAACAGGGAGGGGAAGGGAGGATGAGCAGGAGGGATGAGCGAGTGACCTGACGGGAATAGTTGTTGATGGCAGAGGACAAATGGAATATGGCAGCGCAGTGAGAGATAGGGGATGGTGGTGTGACGTGTTGGCAGTGAGAGAGATGGGGGGCGATGGTGGTGTGACGCGTTGGCAGGGAGAGAGATGGGGGCGATGGTGGTGTGACGCGTTGGCAGGGAAGCAAGCAAACGCACGGGTAGAAGGAGAGCGTCGAACTTCCAGCCGGGATGAACGAGACGCCGATGCAACGAGATGACGAGGAAGATTGGAACTGGTGACGGAGGAAGGAAAACAATCCACGCCGTTCCCCCCCCCCCTCCCCCCCGCGACTCCCCCCACACCGGGCGATGAGAATGTGACGGAGCCCCCCTCCAGAGTCTCTTGGTTGCGGAGAGGGGGGAGGCGAGGCAGTGGTGGCGCCGATGACGACGACGGTGGTCGGAGGGGAGGCGAAACGGAAGAAGAAGAAGAAGACGACGGGAAAATAAACTAATCTCTCTCCTCTCGACGGAATAAATATAAAATATAACAAGAGGGAGAGGGAGATAGCGGAGAAGAATAAGAGGCTTTGTTTTAAAAAAAATATATATATATATCACGACGTGGAGGAGGAAGGTGGTGGAGGAGGTGGTGGTTGTGGTGGTGGTGGTGGTGAAACCCACTTCGGGAGGATTCTTTTTGTATTGTACAAAACCGCGCGGGGTATCGAGGGGGTTGGTGAGAGAGGAGAGAGCTTAAACGAAACTGCACCGCAGGAATCTACGGTCGCTCTCCTCCTCGTCGCAACTCCTCCGGTTCCTTGCCGCCCTCCGCCACCCCGCCGGGCCCGGGTTTGATGAGAGAGCGCACGGGAGGACGATGACGGTGGGGGGGGAGGGTGAGGTGGTGAAGGAGTTGGGGGGGTGGGGAGGGCGGTGTGGGTGAAGCGTTCTCACTCGACGTGAATGTGACGGCGCGGTGGTGGTGGTGGTGGTGGTCGTCGTCGTTCTGGGTTTCTGTTTTACAAAGAAGGGAGGGGAGGAGGCGTTCATGTCCACAGTTGATTTTACAGACACACAGGGAGATGCATGCTTAGTTGCAAACACACGCAGGATACAGATACGCACACAGATACACGCACATATACATATACACACACGCAGATATACACACAGATACACACACACAGATACACACACACACAGATACACATGCAGATACAGGTACAGACACAGATAGACACACACACACAGATACACATGCAGATACAGGTACAGACACACACAGATAGACACACACACACACAGATATACACACACACACAGATACAGGTACAGACACACACAGATAGACACACACACAGATATACACACACACACAGATACACACGCAGATACAGGTACAGACACACACAGATAGACACACACACACAGATATACACACACACACAGATACAGGTACAGACACACACAGATAGACACACACACAGATATACACACACAGATACACACGCAGATACAGGTACAGACACACACAGATAGACACACACACAGATATACACACACACAGATACACACGCAGATACAGGTACACACACGCACAGGAAGTACGGAGCCACCACAGACGACGCGGCCCCGCACGCGGACGACCACTCCCCCCGCCGCCCCCACCACGGATTAAACAAAACTCCGCATTCTCGGCAGCAGCAGCAACGGCAGCAGCAGTAGCAGCAGCAACGGCAGCAAAAAAAAGTCCTCAAAGCATTAAGGCCGCAACGCGCGGCAGTCGGTCCGGTCGCGGCTCCAAAGCGGTGACCCCCCCCCCGCCCACCACCCCCCTCCATCCCACCACCCCCCTCCATCCCACCACCCCAAAGACACTCAACCAGAAACGGCAAACGGCGGTAGCGGCAGTCCGTACGTACGTCGAACCTCACTGGTGCCGTACGTAGCGGCGGCGGCAAGGGGAAGGTCGATAAACCGCAAACACAAAAAAAAGCGATTTCTAAAGGAAACGAGTTTGTCAATGTCGACGTCGATGACGACGACGATTTAAAAGTGCATCACAGCTCCCTGGCCCCGGTGGCTTCCCGATATCGGAAGGAGAGAGAGGCGGGTCCCCACACGGCTACCACCGTCTTCGACGGCTCGCCAGAAGCCGGCCGCCCGGCCGCCCGCCCGCCCGCCGCGAGGGTTGATGGCCACCGTTGGTTTTGGGCGACGATGGTTTTCCACGCTCGGCTTGACGGGGTCGGCGGCGAGGCATCGCGGTTTCAACGTCGTGTGGCAAGCACTTTACGTGCGTGTGTAATCGGTGAGTTGCGACCTGAGCAAGCAAAAAAAAAAATCCGTGAAAGTAACTTGTTGAGAGGGATGGGATGGGTGGGGAGACACTCGATCGGGGGAAGTGGCGGGCAGGGCAGGGCAGGGGTGTAAGAGGTCGGCACCTGGGCCGGCAGAGTTTTTTTTGTTTCTCTGACCGGGTTGGGTGTTTCTTAGCGTGGGGTGAAGGCTGTGGAAAGGCTGGGCTAGGCTGCGTAAGGCTGGTCTGGGGAAGGCTGTGCTGGGCTGTGGAAGGCTGAGCTGGGCTGTGGAAGGCTGAGCTGGGCTTTGGAAGGCTGAGCTGGGCTGTGGAAGGCTGAGCTGGGCTGTGGAAGGCTGAGCTGGGCTGTGGAAGGCTGAGCTGGGCTGTGGAAGGCTGAGCTGGGCTTTGGAAGGCTGAGCTGGGCTCTGGAGGGCTGAGCTGGGCTTTGGAAGGCTGAGCTGGGCTGTGGAAGGCTGAGCTGGGCTTTGGAAGGCTGAGCTGGGCTTTGGAAGGCTGAGCTGGGCTTTGGAAGGCTGAGCTGGGTTTTGGAAGGCTGAGCTGGGCGCTGGAGGGCTGAGCTGGGCTTTGGAAGGCTGAGCTGGGCTTTGGAAGGCTGAGCTGGGCTGTGGAAGGCTGAGCTGGGCTGTGGAAGGCTGAGCTGGGCTGTGGAAAGCCTTGGCTTGGGCTTCTTCCGGCAGCAAAAAAAAATATTTGATTCCGGTCCGTCGTCTTTTTTTTTTCTTCGACTTTGCGCACTTAAAGGAAAGGAGACAACGGGCTGCAGGTTCGTCTCCACCCCCCCCCCATCACCGACCCCCCCTGCACCTCCTCTCCGCCCACCCACCCCCCCCCTGCGCCATCGCCTCCGCCGAATGGTCGACTTGGTGGAAAGTGTCAAGTTGGTCGGAGAGGCGGGGGTGGGGTGGCCGTCCGTTGTTGGCCCGCGTGCTCCCGGAGACTTTTATTTTTCCCCTTCGCTCCAAAAAGAAAAGCAAGCCCGGCCGTGTGGAAACACGGAGAGGAGGAAGGACGAGGAGGAGGAGGAGGTTGGTGGTGGTGGTGGTGGTAGATGAGGAGGTGACGGACGTGGACATGGGACAGAACCCCGGGGTTGGGTTGGGGGACCCCGCTCCTGATGCACGGTTGTCTCCTTACGGCGTCGCATTAATGTCTGCAACAT